TGAAGCCACCTTCAGAGCGTCGAGTCGAAGAGATCTTAGCCGACAGGGAAACCAAGGTATCTCGAAGACTAGTTCGTGAATACTTAGTGAAGTATAAGGGATTAGGACTAGAAGAAACCAACTGGGAAAGGGAACATGACCTCCAGAGATTCAAGAGGAAGATTGAAGAATTTCAAGCTAGCAAGTCGACAAGGACGTCGATAGAATATGTGGGGGAAGATGTCATGAGCCAACCTTGTATAGGGCCATGACCAGGGCTTAGATTGTCATGAGCCACCCATGTATAGGGCTATAACCGGGTAGATCTCTTGTGCTAGGAAAAGTGTCCCCATTTCAAACATTGTAATGGTTAGTGGTAGCATAGCTTTAAAATCTCTAAGGCTCTTTAGGGGGTGACCGGACAGCGTACTGTTGGGCTGTCTCATCGGTCGTGATACGGGTCTAGGCCATCCGCCAAGGGCTACCCTTTTGACCCTGATGATGGTGGGAAGTCTCGATGTATTATCCTCGATTATAATAAAATTCATCTCTGATTCGAATGTTGCCTTGATGTGTTTTTCTTTTTGTCGATGTGAATGTGTCTTCTTGTGTGTGCTTGAGATTGATCTCGATATGAATGTGTCTTATTGCGTACGCTTGGGATTAACTGTAACTTTTGATTATTTGTTCAAATATCGAACTATTGAGGGCTGACTTGGGTGGGAGTGTCCATTCAAGTGTCGTACGATCTATTGCTTGTTGAGAGAAAGCTTAGTCCATGACACCTTGCATGCAGTCAACCCATGTAGGAGAATATAAGCCCACGTGCTTCAACGATGAGGGGAGAATTGAGGCTGTCAAAGTTAGTACGAGGGTAAACGAACATTGTAAGGCTAGAGTTGTGACCATAGAAACCGAGATTCCCACAACAAAAGTCCACAAGAACCTCATGCTTGATTTAATGTTGTATGAAGATAAAAGAGATATAGACGCTGAACGGGGAGAAAATATTAACATGTATGGGTACATAAAAAGTGGAAGAAATTGGCATGTGCGCCTTCTCAAGCTATGCAAGTAGTAAAATTAATTCTATTTGTAGGAAATGAGATTACAGAGTTCTGTTTGTCTGTTTTGAATGGGAGTGTATCATTAGATGATGTTAATTGTACTAATATTGCCCTGATCTCAAAATCAAGAACCCTAGAAAGATAACTAATTTTAGACCCATAAGCCTTGGTAATGTGTCATATAAAATCATAGCTAAAGTCCTTGTCAACGAGCTCGAGCACGTTTTCCCATACTATATTAATGAATATCAAAGTGCATTTGTGCCTTGTAGGCTTATATCAGACAATGTACTAATTGCATATGATATGCTCTTTTAAGTAAACTTAACAATTTATATTTCTGTGTAGTATCTTGTGTTATGTTTGATATTTATATATAATGATAAAAATTTTAAATATGAATATAGTATGTTTATTATACATATTATATATGTACATGACAAGGTATGATAAATACGTGTATAATTAATCTGTTTAAATACGACATGAATAAATATAAATAATATTGATAGACACAAATAACATGATTAACATAGATATACGTAAATAGATACGACTAACATGAATATATATAAAAAATACGATTAAAATAATAAATAATTATAAACTATTTATAATTTACAATTTAATAAATTTGACATATTAATAATATAAAAAAGTGCTTGCATATTAAAAAGAATAAAAAATTTAATACCCATTTAACATGTATTTAATATATATATTTAAATTGTAATATATACTACATAACTATATTAGTTTTTGGTATCAAATTCAAAATGATGAACTATTACAAATTAAAGAATAAAATAATAATGTATAAAACTAGTATTAATATTTATATTACATTTATATTATTAATATAAAACATAATTTTATAATAATTATTAAATGAGTATCATAATTAAATGTTTAAAATAATCTTTATATATTTATATTAAATTAAAATAGATATAAAAATTGTTAAATGTGTTAAACATGTTAAAAATGTTAGATATGTATCATATGACGAGATTAAATTAAATGTATTTTTCATATCATATCACGTGTTAAACATATATCTATGAGATGCGTTTTATCTAAACGTATTTTTTGTATCTTATATATGTTTAGATGTGTTAATATGTATAAGGTATGAATTGTGTCGTATCAAAATTTATATCGATACGAATAAACACAAAATATATTTTTTTTAAAATGTATATACAACTTCTTTCATGTTATTTTTCTATCATATCATTGTGTTATATCTGAAATTACAAGTTCTATACATATGCTTAAGACTAGACGAGTAGGACGAGATGGGTTTGTAGCTCTTAAGCTCGACATGAGCAAGGCTTATGATAGGGTTGAGTGAGGTTTCTTGAAAGCCATTATGCTCAAGCTGGGTTTCCATAGCCACTGGGTGTCCATCATTATGAATGTATTAACTCTGTATCTTATTCCATAGCGTTCAATGGTGATATTATAGACAGATTCATTCCAGAGCGAGGATAGCGCCAAAGAGACCCACTTTCGCTTTACCTGTTTTTGTTGTGCATGGAAGGCTTCTCAGCACTACTGATGAAATACCAAAGGGAAGGGTTACTTAATGGAGTTAGTGCAGGCAGAAATGGGCCTAGAATCAATCACATTTTCTTCGCAGATGATAATCTGTTATTTCTGAAGGCAAACGAAATTGAATGTGTAAGGGTAAGGCACGTGCTAAGGATATATGAAGAAGGTTCGGGCCAGAAGATAAATCAGGAGAAATCACTCTTATTTTTCAGCAAAAATGTAAGTGAAGCCTGCCGAGAAGGTGTCAAGCAGCTTCTGGGAGTGTAAGATACCTCTGGTCTTGAAAAGTATCTGGGATTGCCAACCATGGCCGGAAGAAATAAAAAGCAAGCATTAGGAATATTATGGACAGAATCTGGGCAAAGATAGGTCAATGTAGCAACCGAGTTATATCTCTGGGAGGAAAGGAAATATTCATTAAATCGGTTCTACAAGCAATTCCGGCTTATGCCATGAGCCGTTTCCTTATGTCTAAAAGCTTCTGCCAAAAGCTGAATAGCATTATAAGTAACTACTGGTGGAGTAGCAAACGGGATGGAAAAGGACTTCACTGGTTAAACTGGGAAAGGATGTGTATTAGTAAAGGGAAGGTGGGATGGGTTCAGGAATTTTGAACTCTTTAATAGAGCTCTTTTAACAAAACAGGGCTGGCGTTTACTCATGAACACGAATTCCTTGGTCCACAAAGTCTTACGGGATAAATATTTCCCTAATACCAACTTCATGGAGGCAAACTTGGGGGGTAACCCTTCTCTCATTTGTAGAAGCATTTGGTCAGTGAGAGATGATCTTAAGGCTGGGATGGCTTGGAGAGTGGGGCATGGAGACCGCATTAGGATCTGGAAGGACAGGTGGTTACCTGATAACAAAATGCTATCTTATGGAAGAGGTGCGCACGACTTGTTTGGAGACGATGCAAAAGTAACTGAGCTAATCCGAGGAAGGTTATTCGAAGGAGCTGTAATGATGAGATGCTAAGAAGGTTATTCACGGAGGAAGAAATCAGCTGGATTCGCGTGATTCCTCTGAGTTATGAGAACCATGTAGATGCAAGAGTGTGGTCATTGGAGAAAAATGGAAGATTTCTGTAAAGAGCATGTATAGAAGTCTGGTTACCGAGCACGGCAGAAGCAATGGGGTAAGCACAAGGTCTAAGTTGGAATAAATATTCTATAAAAAATTGTGGAAACTGGGAATCCCAAACAAAATCAAGATGCTTGGATGGAAGTTAAATAATGGTTTCCTATTATGACAGTCTAAGAAATAGAGGGATTGAGGTGGACACAATCTGTCCAAGATGTGGACAGCCAGGGGAGACTGTATCACATGCGATATGGGACTGCGAGAGTGTTGAATCTGTATGGAATGAGACAACTTTGGATCCCAGATGGAGGAATGTTAATTTGTCTGCTAGCATAGGGTGGCTTGAAGAAATTGCTGATGATTTGGATACCGAAAACCTGGAAACTGGCCTGGTGCTCTGCTGGGCGGTGTGGAATGCTAGGAACCAAGCTGCAAAAGGGCGAACCCAACGTACGGTTGAGATGATTGTCCACTTTGTGCAAAGGTATATGCGAGAATATAGGCAGGTAAATGTATCCCAAAATACAAGTGTTATAGTTTCTGCTGCTAGGTGGGTGGCACCTCCAAGAGGACATGCAAAAATAAATTTTGATGGAGCCATAAACCTACCTACTAGAAGGGGGGAATTGGGGTGATTGTAAGGGACGACAGAGGACTTTTTATGGGAGCTGTTTCTGCAATGGTAAACTTTGTGCAAGAACCGATTGTTATTGAATCCTTAGTTGCGACTAAGTCAATAGAATTGGCCAAAGCTTTGGGACTGGAATGTGTGTTTCTTAAAGGTGATGCAATGCAAGTGGTAAAAGGTTGCCAGCAAGGAAATGAAGACCTTTCTACCGTGGGAAACATTCCGGAAGATGTAAGAGCCACTGGCAGAACACTTAGATCCTTTTAGGTAGGCTACATCAAGCGTAATAAAAATGGGATTGCTCACAGTTTAGCTAAATATGCATTAGACAATGGTTCTGATGAATTGTGGATTGGGGAGTGTCCATCCATAATCCAAGAATGATTACTTCTGAATGTGCTGATCTTCTTCAGTAATACATTCTGATTGTTTCAAAAAAAAAAATCATGATACTCATATTGCTTTTTTTTTTTTTTTTCTAATATCATTATTCTTCTTTTATAATTATATTTTTATTTGATCAAATTTATATAGTTAAAATTTTTAAAAAAATATTTATCTAAAAATTATAACTTTACATGCTGAAATTTTGAAGTTATACATTATCTTTATTTCAAAATTCTTTTTTTAAGAAATCGAATTTAAAGGTGAGCGTTGAACGTGTGCGCCCGTTAGCGTTAAGCCAAGTCAGTCAGTATTTGAGAAACGACATCGTTTTCGACCTTCATAGTCTAGAGAAATCAATCCGGTCGGGACCCGGTGATCGCTTCATTCGGAAGGATCGGTTTTTTATTTTACATCCCCCTCGTGGCCTCGTTCGCTGAGCTTCAGCAGTCACACCGCCGATAGAAACCACCAGATAAAATCTCTTCAAAATTTGAAAAAAGAAATTTATTTTCCGCGCCAGAATAAAACCCCAAAGTCCCAAACCTCTATGCAGCAAAACCTTCATTCAATTTCCAAAGCAGGAACTCTCACATCGTTGAACCGCAAACGCTTTATACGCGAAAGTGTTTTTCAAAGAAAATTATGGAGAAAGGCTTAATATCAGTAGATCGATGGGCGGAGGGCAGCCAAGCTTACTTCTTAACGCACCTGCACGCGGACCACACTCAAGGCCTAACTTCCACCTGGACCAAGGCTCCCATCTTCTGCTCCCGCGTCACTGCCAAGCTCTTCCCCTTCAAATTCCCCAACTTCAAACTCTCCCTTCTACGAGTCCTCGATCTTGGGTCCTGGCACTCTCTCTCTCTCGTTTCCCCTTCCACTGGATCAAAAATTGCAGTCCAAGTCATGGCCATTGACGCTCACCATTGCCCCGGTTAGAAAAAATGCATATTATATATATTAAAAAAAATCAATTTCTAATTGTTTGATTATTCGGCAGGTGCAGTTATGTTCTTGTTTCGTGGAGAGTTTGGATGCTTGCTCAACACTGGAGATTTCCGATGGGAAAAGAACAGCGAGAGGGCAAAATTAGGAAGGGAAACACTGCTGAATGCTCTTAAGGATAATGCGGTTGATGTTCTTTACCTGGACAACACGTATTGTAATCCTTCGTATGAATTTCCTCCCAGGGAAGTTGCTGCTCAGCAGGTGCTCTTCAAATTTTCCAATTGATATTTTCTTTTCTTCCGAGTGAATCTCAATCAAATTCAATGTTATTCTGTTGCTGGCAGCTATACTGTTGGTTAAACATAGTAAATTATTTGAGATATTAAGACCATAGAATTTTAAATTTTGGGATGATATCTTGAATTGGAGATCAACTGTTGATATGGACTGGTAGATTAAAACAATTGATTATTATTTAGTATTTTTAAGTTATTTGGATACTTGTATCTTATTATTATTGTTGTTTTTTTTTTCTATTATTTTTTTTTTTTGGAGGTTTGGGGGTTGAGATTTGTTTTTACCTTTCATGAACTAAAATTAACTTTTTAAACTTAGGACATTTCTCTGATTGTTGATTTTTAGTAGAAAATATGCTGTATAAATATGAAGCATTCCTAGGGATGAAAAGGAGGGAAAGTTTAATTACAATTGTTAACAACAGTCTGAAATACTGCTATTAGTTTTCTTCTTAATGCACAATAATGGTTATATGGTCTTGAATCATATTTGCAGAAATTGTCAATTTTTGACATGGGGCTATATCTGTTGAGGACAAACAATCAAAATATGGTTTTTACTAATGTCAGGCTTATTATAAGATAAACTATGGAGCTGAAGGCAGCAGATTTGATTTTCTTACTGCTTAAATTTCTTGCTGATAACAGGTTGTTGATATCATTACTTCCCATCCAGAACATGACATCATCATTGGGATTGATACCTTGGGCAAAGAAGATCTTTTGCTTCACATCTCAAATGCACTTAATATAAAGGTTTGCTCTTTCTACTTGCTGAAGTTGATTATGACCTAGTCTAGTAGTTGCCAACTTGGCATATTCAGTTGAATGAGATTGCTCTAACTTGACAAATCACTGAGGCAGATACTTGAGAGGCCATTCCTTTCTGATTTAATTCCTTCGCCAACATATCATTTTTACACTTTATAACCAGAGATAGCTTAGTTCACTGCTTCAATTCTACAATTATTTGAGCTGCAATAATAAATCTGGCTTTTGCTATTTGCTCATGTACCATGTTAAGTGTGTGCTGCTTTGGCTTTTTTCTCACATACATCACTTACAGAAGATCTTACTGTAAAGAAATGAATGGTTAAACTAATATTTAGTTTTTCAATTGTCAATATGGAGAGCATGTTATATTTGAAGATTAATGATGATTTATCTGTAACATTTTTAAGCATTTCCTTTCAGTTATTCATTCTTTCCCTTTATCTTCTTTGGGATTCTTCTAGATTTGGGTTTGGCCGGAGCGCCTCCAAACCATGCATCTTCTTGGATTCCATGACATTTTCACAACCAAAACATCTCTTACTAGGGTGCGAGCTGTCCCTCGTTACAGTTTTAGCATCGAGACTTTAGAGGGATTAAATACAATGCGCCCAACTATAGGAATCATACCATCTGGTCTTCCGTGGGTGGTCAAACCCCTTGAAGGAGATGACAAGTTTTTTTATTCTCTTTTATCTTCTCGTTACAGCAGAAGCAAAGTGAGTTCAAAAGGTGGCAAACAGAATGATAAAATCAAAGGCAATTTAGGATCTGTAAAAAGGTTTCATAGGTACATATATTCAGTCCAATATTCTGATCACTCGTGCTATCTGGAAATAGAGGAGTTTATAAAGCTTGTGCAGCCAACTAACGTGAAAGGCATTGTATCTTCATCATCGTGTTATGTTGATCCTCTTTATTACTTTGGCTGCCTTTGCGGTGTAAACCAACCATCACAAAGGTTGCACCACCAACATCAAAAGAAAGAGGGTGGGGATGGAGTTGTACCTGCCCGTACAAATTCTAAGTTAGGAAGAGTTAGTTATACTGAGGTAGAAAAGAAAAGGCAAAGGGTGGTTGATCTTTTAGGAGTTCATAAGAGCAAGGTGAGTGTGCTGAGACGAGCTCGGCGAGGTGTAAAGCTTGCCGAAAATGAGTGTTCTGATTAACTGGGGCCTATTGTTGAATATTGGTGTATATCTAGTAAGTGGGCAATGCTGTAAATGATGTTGACTGTTACTAGTAATTGAGAAATGTAATTGTAGAATGCATGAATTGGTTGAGTTGGTGTAAACTGTAAAGCTTTGGTTTTTTCCCTGTTAGCTGTGCCAAATTTAAGGGTTTTGGTAAGTAGACTCTAGATAAGTGGCTGCTCGTGTATTTTGAGGCTCCACGAACTGTCAGATTAAAAACGCTGAAGAGATATTGGCACCGTAGAGATGTATGGAGCTTGGACAATGGATTTGTCATCTTACTGTTTATACATTATAGAAGCTAGATCATGAATAAGCAATGAATATTTTCTTAGTTGTTAAGAGTGAGATTGACCAACAAATGGTTGGTTCAATCGATTAAAGTTCGTTTTTCTCGACGAAGAAGTCTTGGATTCGAGTCTTGTTAGCGGTTATTTGTTGGATCATCTCGAATGCACGACTTGTAATCATTTGTCGTAAGTTGTTAGATATGATATATTTTGTTTTTATTTGGGGGACTGAACAGTTTATTTATTTTCGGACTTTTGAATCAGTTGCAAAAACAAAGAGTGAGATTGATATATAAAATTATGATACAATAGAATAAAATAATATTATAATTAGTATTAAATTAAATAATATTATATTATCTTATGTTTGATGCATGTAAGAATTATGATAGAATAATTTATTTATTAATCAAAATTATCATTTCTCAATTTATACAATTTAAATTATTGATATAATTTTTAAGAGTATAATAAAAAATATAAGTTTATTTTAATAGATTAAAAATAATTCTTTCATTTTGGATTAAATTATTTTAAGTTAAGAGAATGATTAATTATCTTTACAATTTTATTTTTTTAGTTCAATACAAATTTGATATAATATAAGATTATTATTATTTTCTCTTATAAATAATCTTATGCATTAAACATAATTTAAAAATCATACCTCTTAATGATATTTTAGATGATAGTCTTATTGAGATGCTAAATCATAAATAAAGATCTATCACTTATAAATGTATATTTTATAAAAAATTTTAATAAGTCATATAATTTTAAATTATAATTTAATAATTGTAAGTGATATGCTAATGTATGAATTTTATTTTATCCTATGGAATCTTGCAAATCCAAAGCCTTGGGGATTGGGCTCATAGGATGGTAAATCAGGTTAACCCTGGCCGTAAATTTACGTTCTGCTCTATAATCCAATCGATTTCGACTACAAGTGTCATTATTTTTGGAGCTTAAACCGCTTTCATTGGGCTGGGTATTCCAGCAGACATATGCTATGCCTGCTGCCATGCATCCCTAGTTGAAGGTTTGCCAATCATGATCAAAACTTGTTTGACTGAGTTTGATGCGGGGTCAACAAAGTCAAAGACGTGCTTGGTTAATCAATCAATTAAATTAGATTACACAATTAAGCAGTTCATTATCAATGATCGAGGTGGGTAGTCAATTTCTGGTGCTCAAACACGTACTCTTTGGTTCAAACAAGAAATAGCTTAATAGTTATAGTAAATTATTTGGACTTTTTACCTTGAATCATTCTTTTTCTTTTTCTAATTTAATTTGGAATTCAGGTAAGATTTTTACCCTTAATTCTTTCTTACCTTGTAGTGACTGCCGTCGATGATTCGAGGAAAGGTGATGCGAATTGATGACCGTCACGGCTTCTAGATCTTGAATTGAATTTTATTATCATTTGAACAGAGTATTTACACGTCTGTGTCGATCAGTTTTCAACAGGAGTCAAATCTTCTTATTCAACCAGTGCATTTTGACAAATTATCTGCAGGGAATTGGAGTAGCCTTCCCTTACCCGTACAATGATTAATTAATAGAAAGGTAGCGAAGGACACCTTCTATTATTGGGGCAGGATGTCGTGGAGGACTAAGGTAAGTTTGAATATTTTATTGTAAATCAGAGGAAAAAAAATAAAAGAATTTAAAATTATAATATTTGATTTAGATTATATCAGAATTTTTATTTAATTTATATTAAATTTAGATATTAAATATATATTAAGTTTAAATTAAATTTTTCATAAAAAAATTAAATCGAATCGAATTATATATTTTTATTAATTTTTAATATATATTTTAAAATTTTAAAAAATAACAATAATAAATTTTTATTAAAATTGATTTAAGTATATTAAAATGTTATATTAAAATAATATATAAAAAATAAAAAAATAAATTTTAAAAATTGATAAATCAAATTAGTAAAATTTGATTTGATTCCAATCAAATTGTATAAAAATGCTATTTAAATTTTAATCGAATTTTAATAATTCATAATATTATCCAATATCTAAAAAATTGAATAAAATTTAATCCAAATTGTTATCACCTTGATAAATTAGTTACTAATAGAGATGGCAACCAGTTGGGTTGAAGTAAGTTTTAGCTTGTTTCGAACCTAACCTAACCTTGTATATTATTTTTATACCAAAACTCGACTCGATCCAATTAACAATTAATAAATATATTATTTTTAAATATAAATATAAAATTAAATAAATAATAAAATAATATTATATATATAGGGTTAGGTTGGGGCGGGTTTGCCTTAAACCTAACCCTGATTTTTTTTTTCTAAAACTAGACTCGACCTAAAATTGAATTTTCAAAAAAAAAAAAAACTTATAGGATCACGTCGAGTTGAAACTTGATGGGTATGGATTCGATTGCCAACCCTTGTTGCCATCTTGCTACCTTAGTTGTGAAAGTGAAAACCGAAAATTGTTTCCCAGTTGTTTCACTCACTTGCTTTGAAGGTTGAATAAATTCGTGTAGGTTATAACTTGTTGTAAGCCTTTAACTTCATGCTCAAAAAAGGGAAAAGAGCAAAAATTGGATTGGGATTTTGGACCCACAAATGACGTCATTTCTCATTGTGTTGGTGAATTTAATAGCTAATAAATGCATGCTACTAAGGCAAGCATATCCATTCGGTTAATTAGATTGTAAATTTTTGAAAACCAACTAAATTTATTTAATCTTATTAAAAATATAATCGACCAACAAAATTAAGGGAAATAAAAAAGTAATCAAACCGATTTAAATCGATCAGTTAAGGTCGGTTATCCTTATTTTATTTGTGTTTTTAATGTTAATATAAAAAAGAGAATACAACTAATTTTGTTTTATTTCATTGATATACTAATTCTATCAATGAAAAATTGACTATTCAAAAAATATTAATCTAAGAAAATTATTAAAAAAAAAAGTCTCTTTTCCTCAAAAACTTGAACTTTCCCACAATTTCTAATCCAAAATCTTCCTTTAACCTTATTTAAACAAAAGCCACATAATCAATGAAATTTTAACCTAGGTTTAAAACTAAAATCCATAAATTTTATTAAATAAAAAATTTGTAAAATATATGAGTTTCTGAAGAAATAAAATGAAGAAAAAATAAATAATAAAACAAAATTAATTGTTTGGAAGTTTAGGTCATTAACCTTTGATGTTAAGCAACTATCATTAGTGCTAGACTTACTAAGGGAGCTATGGAAAAAGAAAATAACTTTCTGTGTTGTGATTTAGAGAAACAAAAAAAAAAAAGAAAAAATAGTTGAAACTCGAAAAGAAATGTACGATAGGCTAGCTAGTGGTGAGAGAAAAGATGGTTAGTGGTTACTAGTGGCAGATTGGTGGTTTATGGGTGGTGGTTGTTAAAAAGAGTCAATTGTCAAGAAGTGATCTAAGGCTATAACCAAGCAAATGAAATGAGAAGAAAAACATTTAGGCTTATGTTTCATTTATATTTCATTTAGTTTCATCGATAAAATTGGTAAAATATTAAAATATTTATAATATATTTATTTATTTAATTATTATAATTCAATTTTCTCAGTTGGTTTAAATGTCAAAATCTAACATAAGAGCCCATGGATGAAACCGCTATAATTGATTAAATAAACAATATATATCCGAAATTGACCAAATTGATTCAAATTTTTTGAACATAATCGATTTTTATTGATTTAATCAATTTAAAGTAATTAATATTCTTTGTTACATGCTTCTATTATCATTGTCATTGGCTTAAGGGTTGGACTATGTGTACTTTTTTGGTTTGTTATGGTGTTTTTTTAGCGTTTAGCTATAGGAAAGCTGATCGGAGGTTGAGGGTAAGAAGACTTAGACTTACAGTCAGAAAACAAGGTTAAAGAGTCTTGAAGTTGGTTTTTTGGGACGTACTCCAATGCTCAAATCAGTGAAAATGTCTAAAGTTTGGTAAGCTAGAAGGTAAAGAGTATTAAGGAAGCTTCAGAGAGAGAAGAATGCTTATATTTTATGTACTTGGTCTTATTTTTTACCTTATATATGAGATTAAAGGCAGTAACATGATTAAGATAGTTGATAGTTGATATTGAGTCTATATGAAACTCAAAGAAGGTTCACGTGGGTGATTATGAATTGCATTTAATGATCTCAGGAATCATGGGTTACATTTAATGATCTTAAACAAATTGAAAGCCAAGTGTACAGTTATAAAGTGATGCCTTGGTAGGACGTTAGTGGAGGTGTCAAGTGAGCACTTTTTTTAGAAGAACAAGCCTATTTTATAGTGAAAGATCTGGACATTGACCCTTACTAATAAGGATATAATAGTTGGGCATATGTTGGTTAAGGGCCAAGAGAAGTGACTTTGTTGACCAAGTAAATAGGTATAATAATTGCCCTTTAGGTGTAAAGGGGTTATAAGGTTACTACCTTCAGACCATTTAACAAAAGTTTGTGAAAATGAGCTTGTCAGGGAGGTAATAATTGGTTTGGCAAGCTATATTGGTGGCAAGTCTTGGCAATGCGAGAGGTGCTTTTTTGGCCAGCTATGTTGATGACATGTCCTTGCAAGATGAGAGGTGTTATTTTGGTGAGTTATGTGTTTTGTTGAGGTACAAGAAATAGTAGGTGAGCATTTAAAAAAAATTAGTGTGAAATACTAATTCACTAGGCTGAGTGCACTAGGCATAGCATATTTCTTAAAGCAGTGTAAGGCACGCGCTTGTGTTTTTAAATGGTGTGGTTGTTCAGGACACATGGCACAATAGGGTTTTCGAGTTATCAAATATAACTAATGGGTGTAAATTTTAATTGTGCCAATTCTTTGAGACGGAATGAATGTGTCTTTTTGAAAAAATAGGTAATTGAAGGGTTGGGTTTAAAAGAAATTAATTTTGACCGTTTATAATTGGTTAAAACAATCAAATTGGTAGCATTTCACTAGTGTTGTTTGGCATTGAAATGGTTCATATTAATGTCATTTCATTCGTGTCATTTGGCTAAGTATAAATAAGAAAGTTAAAAAATTTTCAAACTTACTTTTGTGATTTTTAAGTAAAAAAGTATGGTTTGCTTGAGTATTGCATTATTGCTAGCTATTTGTTTGTTTTTCTATGAAAGTTTCTATTGTAAACAATTTTTTTGAGGTTTTTTGTTTAGTTTTATTAAGTTTTTATGATAGAGATAACACCAAAAAAAAAAAGATAATGATTGAGAGTTCCTACGATTATAAAGGTACTAGAGTACCAATCTCAAA